CCACAAAATGTGGGTGGTTTGAATAATGAGCTCAGAGCGGAGGATTGTGTCAGGCTCCAAGAAGAATTTGAAGATGAAATAGACTGCCATCACACTGATGCTTATTGATAAGAGAGGAGAAAAACATATAAAGCCAACCATGAGTTAGCTTAGCTTCTCATTAGCCTTAAAACATCAAACAGCTCCGATGGTCTCATGCTAAATCAATGCTGTAACAACAATCGTCTCCATTACTCTTCAGATTTTTAAAGCAGATATAGCCTGTCAATGAAGTTAGAACCTTCACATTCCAAACAAAGCCCAAGCTGTTTTCGTCTACACACCGTGGAAACGTATCCGCACCGCTTGAACATTCTCCCATTTTGTAAGGCTACATTAACAAAGTTTCATAATGCATTTTACTGGGATTTGATGTGAAAGAGAAGAAAAGAAAGGGCAAAACTTTGAAAAAACACCTTTGAATTCAACTACAGGGCAATTGTTTAAAGGTACAGTTAAACCCCACCTCCTCAAAAACTCATATAACTACCTATTTTAATAGTTCAAACATTAAATATACCTTAATATGCATTAATACACAAAGTACTAGCCTTTTTAGCATTACCATAGAAGCTAACATCCATGGTCTTGGTTAGCTTTGCTCTTAAAGGTACAGCACTTTGCAAACAGCAACCAATAACACGTTGAGTAGCACTGCATATCTGCGCCCTGGTATTAAAGCTTTCCAAGCTGCATTTTATTTAAAAGCTCTTACATAATTTCTATGAAAAAACATTCACAATCAAATTCTCCAGATTTTTCGTGAATCATTTGCCGTTACGTTCCACAGAAAAATTCGCAAATAGGTGAATCCGCAAAAACGAAACCGTGAATAGCTGAGGCTCCACTGTTCAGGTCTACCGGTGTACATGATAGGTGACATAATTTGTTTCCAGTTTTTGATTTAAAAATAACTAAAGCTCAATCAGACTGGATGAAGAGCATCTGCTAACAGCAGTTTTCAGATCTAGCTACAGATACACAACCGCAACACCAGACCTAAACCTTTGCCCACTTGTAAATAAGGCTTGAATTAACCAAACAGACATTGGAGAGTTTATAACTGTTTATAAGAAGCTGAATAAAAAGAAATCCCTGAAACTGATTCAATATAAATGAATACAAGAAGTAAAATAAAGCAAATTAAAAACGTTATCCTGTTAGACAAATGATGTAAATACTCACACTTGATCCAGCTTTGTCCCGTTAAAGGCGTGATGTCGTATCTCTCTGAAGCCATTTCCATACAGCATTCTGGATAAAAAGAAGCTCCATATTTAAAAAATCCCATTGAAAGTGGTATAATAAATGTTCTTGGATGTAAATACTTTCCATCTGCCAGCCGAGCTCAGAGGAATTGACTTATTTCTCACTTTGGAGTAAAACCGTCTGTGTAATTTTGTGGCTTTTACACCAAACATTTAGCTCACTTCCCACACACTTCTACACTCACACACGTGAACATGAGCGAACGTCTGTGTACTTGTTTTTGTTGTCGGCGTTCATGTGGGAACATGTTTTTAAAGTGAGCTCAAGCTGAGTGTTTCTTGAAGGGCCTATTTTAAGGATTTGGCTGGATTTAGAGATAATGTTCCTTAAATATTTACATATTTATTTATCTACATATTTATATTTGTTTTGGGGGGCGGGGGTCCTGCATTTTATTTTATTTTTTCTATTGTACATGTTTGGAGATATAGTTGCTGTTGGTGGCGTGCAAATGTCTCACACTGTCAGAAACTCGCTCGTGATGCCCTGGAATGAGTTGGCCGGGATCTCGGTAATGGAGGGATGATTAACAATTTCCCTGCAAACGAGATGAAAAGAACAGAGAGGAAATAAAATATGCAACAAGTAAGAGGAAGAGTTACATCTGGGAATTAGATTCGGACAACGAAGGAGGAATTGCAGTTTATTTATCAAAAAGTTAATGGGATTGGTGGCAACATTCCAGGATACAGATGCAAATGGAGACACAACTTCAGGCTCATCCGACCAATACTGGGGATGGTAGAAGAATTGCCAAGGAAAACCTTCTGTAATATTTCAGCTAAGTCCCAAAGTCACACTATGTCACTCTGTGACCGAACCGTCTATCAAATTGTGATACATATTGGGATTCACGACAGAGGATCAAAAACACAAAAACATTTTCCACTGACATGTCCCAGAGACTTTGGGGTCATAATAAAACATATACTTTAGGTACACAAGTCTTTAATTTACTGGTTAAAGTCTTATAACGTACAAAGTGCTTTCTCAGAACTTTGAAATAACTATACTGTAAAAATAACCAGAAAGTTTTACAAAGACTTGATGCTTTTATTTTGATGTAAAGCAGAAACTGATGGTAACAACCTTTTTGCCTGTTACTGTGCAAACATGGTGTGTATGAATCCTTCTGCTTAACATCTGGACTTTCTAGAACTAACAGTACACAGATAGCTATTATTGACTGTAAAACAAAACTTACAGTATGAAGTTCATGTCGTTTGAGTGGATGTTGTTTAAAGCAGGGAAGAAAGTCAGGCCAGTATTCAAAATCCCCCTGAATTACAAAAGAGTGAGAAACAAAGTTCATAATAAAAAGTTCAAAAATAGAGATTTAAACACATATTTTCATAATTTTTTAGTGCTGAATTATACCTTTAAAATGTAGTACAACTGACAGCCATTAGGAAACACACTCAAATATATTTTTTTGCTTCGTTTAAGATATACACAATAGAGGTCCATCTGAAAATCATCCCACAGTTTTGAGATTGGTATCATCATAAATAAATATTCCATGACTCCCCTCTCTTGTTTATTTATGGCTCATTCAAAAAGTCAGAAGTCATTTATTTTGTGTCTCATTTAAAAAGATTCTTTAATTCTGGATTATTTTTTTTCACTGCAAACCTTAAGCGTAAAAACTGATAAATAAAAAATCAGTGCAGTAAAACCAAACAGCGTTTGTTTGAATTGATCTGATGTTTTAGAAACAAGTTGCTTTGAGATGACTATTTCCAGTCAGAACCTATCTCTATTTCTCCAAAAGTGAGACAACTCTGAATACTAATAGGAACTCCACGGAACACCACTTTTTAAAAATATCTAAACTATGTTTTCAGTTTTAGTACCGTTAGAGTGTGGAAGTAACCTCTGAGAATACTTACAGGTACTTGAGGTTCGGGAGATGCTTAAAGGCTTCTGGATCGACATACGTCAACATTTTTGTGTTCCGAATCTCTCTGAAAAATAAAAAGAGGTTTCAGAAACTAGAAATATATTTTATTAATTGACCTAATTACAAGTCTAATTAATTAAGAGGCGGCTGAGTCTAATTTTTGGTTTTAGATCCTAAAAATTGGCATCCAACAGAGCTGGGGCTGACATCCAAGAGAGGAAAAACCGCACCGGAAACAGGCTAATTGGTGATTAATTAGCATATTTCCCGTGTTGCCTGAACCAGAACAAAACACCGACTGAAGCCATATGGCATTCAGGACTGCAGATTTATTTTATGTCTACTCTGGCTCTTAATTTCACTCCTTAAAATCATATTAAATTCAAAAATATGAATCTGACAAGACTGTTTAACAATTGATAGTATAGTAAAGATCTTTTTGCCACTATTAAAATGTGAAGGATATTCCCAGCTGCAGAGGAAATTAAATGTTAAAATAATGACTGCAAGTAGGTTCAAAAACATAAAGGTGTGCATATTGCCAATGAATAATAAATAAAGACAAACCTAAAAAGTAAAAATAAAGAAAAAGCCTTTAAGTTCTACCAATTATTCAGTGGGTGTATCCAGTGGCTTCTTCCCTGGGCAGCATGGTATGGGGGGCATCCTCAAGATATAAAAAACTAAAAGTCACCTTTTTTCTGTCTTGTATTTTGGTATTTCATGTCCAACCAGTGGGAATAAGTGGCCCCTGTCGCTTTTCATTGTAAAATATTGTTTATCACTGAACAATGGTGAATTTAGTACATGACCATCATCAAACATGTTCCAGTATGAACAGCTCAGATTTATTTATGGTATTCTACATTGAACACGAAATCTTTAAAACGCAGTTTGAATTTTGAAAAATTATAATTACATTTGTGAATACACAAGTGTTCTTAATGGCTTCTTGGCCTTAGAACCACCGTAGGTTAAGAAAAGCGTTGTGTAGATATAGTTTATAGTGGCCAACTCTAGACAGTTACAGTACCCTGATTTATGGATGTTTTTAGTAGTTTGCAGCAACACACGGCATAGCGGTCGAGTGGGAACCATATATATGGAAGCTATTTGTCCTCAACAGATCTGTTGCACCTCTGTTGCATGTCTTCCTGTCTGATTACGTTGAATAAAGGCAAAAAGTGCCACAAAATCTTCAAGAAGCTGTCATTGAACGAAGAATTAGGTATATTTTGACACGATCTGGCTTCAGATCAAGTATCAAGTCTTTTCTTCTGCATGTTGCCTTCTTGTTCCTTGTCTTATTTTCCCAAAACAGAAGTCAACATGCCTGAATGGAAGAACAATTCTCTTTGCTTTAAAGTCTCCACAGAAAAATGCAATATTACCAAAGAAGGCATTACATCAGGGAAGATTTCTGAAGCTGTGGAATGATGCCAGTCCTCCAAATCGTTTCATGAACTGATTGCTGTAGATTGCAGACATTTATTTTCAGCATTTGTGAACAGTTTGAGCATTTTGGTGTTCTCATTCTGAGGAAGAGAAGCCTGTGCAGGGGCACTGGGTTTGAAGGTGCCAGTGGAGGCATGGGATAAATCAAAGCCTCGAGTCGATTATGGCTTTATTAACACCCAATACAGATGGATACAAGTCATGCTTGAACTCCACTGACCTAAACTGAACGCCATGTACCCTTCAATCTTCTCTGTGTGATGTCACTAAGTGTCAAGTCTACATTTCGGACTGCAGTTTTCCAGTGGCTTTCGAGATTATATTCAAAATCGCCACAAACCACAGCCTGTAAATAATCTTCCTCAGAGTCACTTCGGCTTCCATTCCACATACCGCGATTGGTGTGCAACTTGGAATAAGGGTGACATTCTTCTACCCAACCAATCTTTGTCAAACAAATGGAAAAAGTAGGTCTGCACACAGGGCACAAACAGGGACAGATTTAGGAGAAAGTCAGATCCTGACAGTTCCAGAGTGGCTTTTAACTTGACAAGGCCAAGGCTCACCGCCATCTTGTGTGCAGTTTCTCTTTTGCCAGTATAGAAAGATCATTTTTTGACAACACTCATTGGATTGACCAGTGCTCAGAACCTGTAAAAGTCCAGGCAACTCAGAAGATGTAAGAAGTAAAGCACCATCTTCAGCTACCACATCTTCCTTCTACCACTTCCTGTCGTCTTCTTCGTCGTTTCCGCCAGTAGTGACATCTGGTTGTTGATCACATGACTTATATGATGCGAAAACAGTGTTTCCATTGAGGTTTTGTGAAATACACTGATTTGGATACAGCAAAAACAAACAAACAAACAAAAAACCGGCTGTGCAGAAATTGATGAAAAACTTGAGTTTTTTTGGGAAATTGCAGTATTTAAGCTTGTATGGAAACACCTTCCTAATAATGAGCAGAGAAATGAACTGAATATACAATATAAATTAAAAAACAACAAGAAAGGGATCAAGACACAAAGACCTGCAAACCATGATGATAAGCTGAGATCTAGAAAATGAAAAGGACTTGCTTTGCCATTACTCATGAAATGGATGGCTCAAATTAAACAACTGCACAAAAAAATAAAACCTCAAACTTCCCCTCCCCAACTCCAGTCCTTGATGCACAGCTGCCGTCTGCCAGGAGCAGCCAGCAGGAAGAGGAGCATTCATTTTTGTCTGACCCTGAAGGAAACCTGAGAGAGATCCCATTATCTTAGGTATGGCGCTAGATTGCACCAATCAGTGGCAAAGAGGCCCCGAAGATCCAAAAACACACACCCTCCTAGCCCAGATACGGCCCTCAGCTGGCAGTTTGGATTACGGCTCCCGTCTGTGATGCCGAGCTCTGGAACTCAGCAGCTTTAAAGGAAAGACGAGGGCAATTAAGACGGAACCGTCGGCCAAATGCGGATTTAGGTCATTTAAGCTTGATTTCTGTAGTCGCGCTCCCTATATGTTAACACAGATCGTTGCTTTAGAAAGTGCTCCAACTTGTAGCGACTCATCCTATAATATAGAACGCACAAGTGGGTTTTCCAGTGGAAAATGTTTTATTCAGACAGATGTGCAGCCATAAATCTCTCACTTATATAAGCTGCTGTTTAACTTCTCCGCCCTAATACACTTTAAAGAGTGAAACCAAGAATAACATAGCTCACTTTAGTTAAACTCATTGGATTTGTTGCAAGTCAGGATCAAGAAATCCCCAAAATGAAAATTTTTTTTTAGGCTCCATAAATTTATGAAGTTTAGCCACAGCAACTTCTGTGGCTAATGAACTTAGCTACCGACTCTTATTAGCCACAGGCAGCCTTCGACATGAAGCATTCTGTTCCCCTCCACTGAGCAAATGGATCAGTTTAGTCAATAGGGGATCAATAAAGAGCACTTTTCCTTTCCCGTTAGCGACTTACATGTGGGTGATTTTCCTCAGGTTGTAAAACGAGTGCCTCTCCAGGCGCTGCAGCTTCTTATCCACGTAGATGTATCTGGAAGACAGAATCCAGCAAATATAGTCTGTTTTCTTCAAAACATGCATTGGGATTTTATGTTGTAGATCAGCAGAAAGTAGTGTATTATTGTGAAGCATAAAGAAAATAATGAATGGCTTTTTGTTTGCATGCTTGGTTTCTTGTCTTCTGACTGGAGAACCTTTGTCAATATGACTTCTGCCAAACATTAATATGGCTTCTGATAGTTTCGTGTCACATATGGCTGCTTTTCCATAAAGGTCAGATTTGTAGTGAATGGGAGTCGTGGGGGAGAGCTGCTCTGGGAAGCGGAAGCTCGGAAACTGCAGCTCTGAGGAGGAGCTACGTCTTGAAGGTGGGGCTAGGTCCACCCAAGCGTTTTGCACAGCTGAATGGTTGCCATGGGAGATTAAAGGATTTCTCAAACATGCATGAAAGAATCAAAGCAACAATCTAGGTATGTTTTTGATGATGGAATAACATTATGACATAATGTCAAGCAGAAAAAAAAATCAATTTTACCTAACACTGGCCCGTTAAGTTTCCTTTCTTCCACTTCACAGTTGTCATTTATTATGTAAGATCTCAGTAAAATGCTTTAAAGTTTATGGTTGTTTTTTTTGGTTTTCAGATAGCATCACACCATAAGAAATAGCTGCATTTTTAATTAATATATTTTTTTTCTCATGTCCTTCATGACATGAGTCAGTAGGAACTTTAGCTAGAGACACTTGAGGCTCACAGAAAGCTTCTCGTCCGAGTCCATCTCCACTCATGCGGATCTTGGACATGCACCAGGCAGCTGAAGAGCAAGACTCGAGAGCACTGAAATGTCACGTCTTACTTCAACAAAAAATCTCCACCTCTACTGGGAGTCCAACACACACTCAAAGCTCCTCCCCAGTGAATGTCTGAGCCTGCTGTGGTTTAAGGGCCAACATTCATACTGAAGAAAACCTTCTATAGGTTTAATTAGGGCTCAGAAATGGTACTGAAAAGAGCAGATACTGTTCTTGGGTAGAGGGACAAAGGATAAAACATGGCAGCCCTAAGTCGTGTTCCAAAAACAGCAGGTGAATGTAAAAAAAAAAAGAGATGTGAAGATGCATAGATGTGCATATAAGAAAGAAAAATAAGCACTTACATCCCTGAGATGTTGACCACGCTGGCAAAAGAATTCGCTGGAATAGACGAGAGTTTGGTATCAGAAAGCAATCTGGTGAAAGAAAGCAAAAAAAAACATAACGACCCTTCGTTAATTTTCTCTGCCGGCCTAATCCTGTTCAGTGTGGCAGTAGGATTGGTGTCCATTTACAGGAGCCACAAGGTGGACTGGTTACCCCAAACAGGTAACCAGTCCATCACAGAGCCGACAGAGACGATTCAGACGATGCGTCAAAGTCATGTAAGAGGAAAAGAGAAGAGTCGCGGAAAGAAATAAGTTAAGTATGTTTTTATTAGCGTAGCTTAACTTAGCTTGACATGTGTCACCTTAGTTTAGCATAGCAAAGTGCAGCTTTGAGAAATACTCAATACTCACACTAAATATTAACATTATAAACGTTTATAAGCAGTGATTTAAAAGTACACAAAGATGCTTTGTAACATATATTACATCTAACTTTAATGCAAGGCTAATGATCACAGGATTTCTTTCTGGATTCTTGTTATTAATAAAAGACACCATTTCTCTACCAACATCATCAAAAACTAGACCAAGCACCTGTAACCTAAAATCTATCAAATAGCCATAAAAAAGTGTTTGAGTAGTTATGAGAAACGATAAAGCTACTTTCGAACTTCCTAAACTTTAAAACTCAAAGGCAAATAAAGAACATCATTTTAAGATAAATGGATAATAATAAGAGGAAAATTGGGTGTACACATCTTTGATGTGACCTTGGCAGGTGACTTTCTTGTGGTGGATTGAGGAATCTTAACTGGGAATCAAGATTGTAGCCACATGTGAATCTGTCATGTTGAATTCCTGGCACCGAGGAAACGCAGACAGAGTTAATTCTGTCTCAGCTATGAACAGCGTGTAGAATATACCTCTTCTAAAAACAGGTTTTAAAGCCAGCCTCTTTGTGTCCCTCTGGTTATTTAGAGAAACAATGGATGGATTCAGAAACTGAGATCTGGACTACAGGTCTGAATCAGAGTGATGTGAGCAAATCAGCAGTCGGCAGACGGTGGAGCACGGCCCTCCGCACGCGCTCTGACAAACTTACACAAACAGAGGGACACAGAACAGATCCTGGCACCAAACCACCTTAGCTGGAAACAGAATGCAATTTCTCCCAGGAATGTAAGGAGAGGTCCGCGTAGCCCACCCAAAAGATTTAAGGAGAAAACTACCACAAGTTATTCTTCAGGATGGAACGTGTTATAACTATATTGACCAGGGAGCTTTTTATCAAGAGATTTGTCTCATTTTAGTATAAAATAGTCAACATTTCAAAGCATGAGTTACATATTATAATACAGATCTCACCCTCTGAAAGGTTTAAACTCCCTTCATTTCCTGGTTTATATCCTAACTAGGGTGCTCAGATGCAAGGTATTTTCAAGTTAGCTTAGCATTCTGTTGTTTATAAATGATTCCCAATGGTCATTTATTTATCAATTTGAGAAACAGGATTAGGATGTCACTGACTTTTTAGGGATCTGTGCCGAACTAAGTTCAGAATTTATCTCATTCAAACTCCAGTCATAAAACTCAGAGGTTGCTCTGAGACTAAAACTATCCAACCTTTTTTCTTGGAGACTTCTTTTCCCTCACTAAATTATTCTCAAATGGTATTCTTTCTCAGGGTGTTTAAGAAACGTGCTGGAAGAGGTAAATATTATATCTGAATGCATCGTCCAGACGCAGAAGGGTGTCACGCTACGCCGCCCTCTTAGTGTACTTTGCTTTGCTTTCCACATCTCTGACTCCCAGTGACACTTGGAGTAACCTTCACACATAAACGCACTTGCACACACACGCACACAAACTTTCACACACACACACACACAAAGGACTCCATACTGTAGAGGGCACACTCCACGAAAAAATAACCTCACAGATGTCTGTCATGCATTCACATTTCGTTCTTAAAAAACGTACTTTTACTTTCACTCATTTTTCTGCAAAAAATACATTCCATCAACTGCGGCAGATCCTTCTCTTTCTGGTAAATTTTAATAATTGTATTGCACAGCTTCCAAGACTGTAATTAATTTGTCTTTAATATTTTCATCTTTACAATGAATGGCAGTAATAATTACTGGCCTGGAAAAACATCTACAATAAATCATATCTACTTTAAACTCCTTAATATGGTTACAGCTTTTCCTCTTAACTGTTTACTGTAGCTTTAGACATTTCTTTCATGTGGTTTAATGCACTTGTTCCTCTGGATTTGTTAAGGGATCTGTGTAACTATGTCAGAATACTTGGTGATGGAGCCCTTCTCATAGAACAGCTTCTGTCACCAGTAAGGGGAAAGATAAAGTTGTTCTATTCCATTCAATAGAAATGATCCTACATTAACTGTAGATATCCTTCTTACAGACTCAATGTAGGTAAAATTGATTCGAAAGTCAAAGCTCATGAATGATGTCGCACCTTAGTTGAGTTCTAATTAGAAGCCGGAAAACCAGTGAGATTTGCTAACTGTTATGCTAGTGACCAGGCTACATTCTATTAGCAATTCAAGCTAACCAAATCTGCCTGAAATTCTGACTTCCAAGAACAAACACGCTTGTCATTGAGACATAGAGAAAATTTGTACTGTCACTGTTCCCTCATTAATATAGTTTGTTTTGCTAATCTTAGCTAGCTGGTTGCTAACAAGTTGTCTTGAAAGTTGGACTTTCTGCAAGGAAATTGTGAACTATTTGAGCTATGTTAGCTAGCTAGCTATGTATGAGCTAGCTAATTTTCTATTTCATCTGTACACTTTTCATACTCTCTTTGATTCCCTATGCCTTAGGTGGATATGAACTTATTACTTAATCTCACAAAATTATGTAATTTTAACAGATGGAAGCCTCAACGGCCAGTGTGACAGATGGGTAATTTATTCCTCAGCAAGAATACAACAAAGTACAAATTCCTAAAGTTTAATTTCCTAGCACATGCCAGTCAATATGTGATCTATTTCAGGCTTATGTGGCAGATATTTTTACCCGAGAGTTTTATAGCGCTTGAGGGATGGATTCATGTCTTTTGTTCTCCTGAGGTTGCTGGGTAAACTTTGGGCAGGAATGTGAGGAAACTAAAGTGGACACTCAAGGCATGTGGGCCGGTGAATTGAAGCAGTGATCAGGGCATAATTTTATGTGATGGCTGCAATGCAAAGGGTTGTAGAAGGGATGAAGGGATACCGTGAGACACTACAAGGCAGGAATGAAGATTATGACAACATAGCAGAGAACCCTCTTTATAACTAGGGCTGCACTGAGTGAGTCCAATGCAAACGAATTATAAGCCAGAGAAGGATCCGTGTAACAACTTGGAAGCTTTGTAGTTGTTTTTAGATTTCCAACAATTAGCAAGACCTTTAAGACACAAGTAAGAGGATAGCAAGGTATAGCATAGGAGACCAGGGAACACGGCAGACCGATCAGGTATAAAGCTGTGGAGGGGTTTCTAGAAAGATTGGTAATGGCTGTCTGTCCAAACTGACAGGCTGGAAAAAAAGAACATGTATCACAGAAACAGTGCAAGAGGGACGTAGTAACTCTGGAGGAGCTGCAGAGATCTGCGCTCTGCAAATCTGATCTGATCAGTGCTATTTTTTTTCTCTTTTTGTGTGTACACTTTGTTTTCTTGTGGCAGACATGGTTCACACTGACCCAGGTTTAGGTTCTGCTAAAAGTTTCTTCTTGTTAAAGGGGAGATTTTCCTATCCACTGTCACCACATGCATGTTAAGTGTGAGGGATTGCTGTAGTGAATGCTACAATCAATATGATTCAGTCCTCTGGGTTTCCTTCAACGGAGCACATTTTTATCAAATGGAGTAATAAACTAAACTTGACTGCATTGTTTGATAATTGACTTTTTTAGTAAAGTGCCTTGAGATGATGATGTGAATCAGCCTCGTATAAATAAACTGAAATAAATTGAATTAAGTGAACCAAGAAGATGTTGCAAGACTTTAAAACGGATGCTCACTGACACTCGCCATCAAATCCGAAAGAGCTTCAGCTGTTTTCAGAGAAGAATGGGCAAAAATATCAAGTCCAAAATTAGCACAGGCAAATCCCAGAAGATCCAGAGCTTCTGGGATTTGAAAATGAATTTTCATATTCATTTCACTACTGTTTCGGTGTTACTGGAAATTCTGCTTTTGGAAAAGGGAGAAGAATCCTGTGATTTTTCACAGCTCTCTGGCAACTCGCGTCAATAGCACTTTGGCTGTTAATTCATGCCGTTTTTCCCAATATTTTAAATGCCCATAAGGAAGACTGTAAAATGTTACGTATACACTGGACGTCTGATTTCCTCCTCTTTCAATAATCACACGATACCATCTGGTCAATTTCTGTAGGTTAGGAAAAAAAATGCTGGCTAGCCTTATGCAATTTAAAAAAAAAAAAAAAAGTCAACACACATAGAAACTTCCGGGAGTCAGCGTGTGTTATTGGAAAGTTTGCTTCTCTGTTTTCCTACAGTTTGCGTGAGAAATGCTGAAGTTAATTATTCATCATATTATCCATCATATTACGCCAGAACAAACCTTGAAATTTTGCTTCTTTTTTTTAAATGTTCAGACATTTAAAAGTAGAAAAATAAGTTAGAAAAGCTGAATCTGCCTTAACACTAATGGACAGAATAATACCTGAAAAGAGAATAACTGCTTACTAAAAGACGGCCCTTAAAATCCCCGTGGGTGCACTTTGATGGAATATTATAGCGTAATGGTTTTCTTTCTTTTTTTTTTTTTTTTTTTTTTTCCCTCAGGGTTAAGAGCGCTTTTAACATTCAAAATGCATGAAAAAAGAAAGAAAGAGAGACAGCAGAATCGCTTTTGCAGATGCGTTTAGTACGCCTACTACTTACAGTGTTTCTGTGCTTGCTGGGAACCTCGGGAGAATATCAATGTCACTGCAGCAGATCGTGTGAGCTCTCCACTCGGAGCAGTTGCCCCTGACCGGGCAGGAGTAAGGCTGCAGCTCGGTGCCGCTGATGGGGAGAGTGATGAGGGTCAGCAGCGCGCATGTTAGCACCTGCGTGGTGGGGCGCAGCCGGGTGGAAGAAGTGCCGATGTCCGAGCAGGTCGCCCGCCTCCCAGAAGTCCGCAGCAACATTTTTGTTTTTACCTGCTGGAAGTTGCGTGATGTCCTTTTTGTTGTGGTTGGTGTATTAGTCCTAAGTGCTCACCGTGTCTTGCAGGGGCCCCAGACTGGAGGAGCTGAGAAGGTTTTATTTTTGGGGTGGGGGTGCGGGGGGAGGGATGCTGCACCTCTGTGGTGGGTTTTAGGAGGTGGTCTCCGACTTAAGGAGAGGGTGGACTTACAAAAGGCAGAGTTAGAATGTCCCCATCCCGGTTTCCCCTCCTTCTGCGTGGCGTTGTCGGTAAAAACGTGGGTATTTTTTTGCCTGGTGTAGCCGCAGGGCCGGATTTAAAAGGACAAGGGACACTTGGGTAGAGCCGGTTTTGGTGCCCTAACAAAAACAAACAATCAAACAAACAAACAAACAAACAAACAATAATACGACTTTTTTATCCACATATTTGTTAAAATTGTCACCATATCATGATAGTATTCATATTTAGTAAGTTTTTTTTTTTTTTTTTGGGGGGGGGGGGCTATTTTTTTTGGGAATTTTCCCTTCTTTTTTTTTTTTATTTTTTTTTTGGGAATTTTTTT